GGTTACTTCCTTTTTAAAACGCAACTAATCCATTCCAAAGGGGGGCATGTTTTTAATTAAAAAAAAGAAACAAAATTACCCATAATGCAATCACCCAGTGTTGGTTTGACCAGAGTGGCTCTGTGGAAAGGAGTCACCCCGATTGGGTTCGATGTCCTCTGTCACCTGCCCTTGGGTGACCCCGAGCAAGGGGCCTCTCTGAGGTCCGGGTTTGAGGAGGAGGGAGAGGGTCGCCGTTGGCTCCACGGAGCACCCGGCCGGTCCTGAGGCCTCGGAGCTGAGCCGGAGCGCAGCTGCTCCCCGCAGACGCGCAGAAGGCTCCGGAAGGGAGCGGCCGCGTGGGAGGGACGGACACTTGTTTGCTGTGGGGGTTTGGGACCTCAGCTCCCCGGCCGCCTGCGCTGCCTCCAGAAGCTGACCTCAGTGCCGGGCTGTTGACAAACGCTCACATTTGATCGGAGTGACTTTTGCCTTCGAATTCCACACACGCCCTTTGCTCTGGAGGGAAAGGAAGCGCAGGGACTGAAAGGCAGAGGCGGCCTGGGCATGTCCACTTTACAGATGGGAAAACTGAGGCCAGCGAGGGGAGCCACTGGGACCCAGAGCTGGCCAACGGCAGGGCTGGGGCCAGGGGCCAGGGGCCAGCCCTGTGAACTGGACAGGCTGACAGCGTGGGAAACACCAGCTCAAACACTTCCCGCCCCTGGCCCCTCGCCGCCGGTGCTGGTCAGAAAGCCTGGGAGAGGGCTATGGGTGGGGCGAGCACCGCTTCGAAGGGTCGGGGCCATAAGGTTTCTCCCCAGAGACTTGTGAACGTCAAGCTCGCAGGGACCCCTGTCCAGAGAGAGGGAGGTCATGGCCGAGGTGTCTGGCCAAATGCAAACGACTTCCCTCCCTGTTCTCACGAACTGAATCCACTGAATCCGATAAAGGGCTTCCTTCCCCTTTCTCGCCGGCTTTCACCCCTGTGCCTCCGCCACCAGCCCCTCCTGTCACACTATCCTCCGCCCCTCCACCCTCTGGCCGCCCGGACTTGACCTTGCCCGGGAGTCGGGGGCCACTCGACGCTGCTCAGCTCGGTGGCGGGTTCCTTCTCATCTTTCTGACGCGGATGGGGTCGTGTTTCACTTCTCCAGGTGGGGGGCGGGGCCGGGGTGCAGTAGCCACCGTCACCTTATTTCTGGCAGCTGCGGGGGCCCTGGGGCTGAGGTGTCTCGTTCTGGTTCTGCCACCAGACCCGCCCCTCCACCTGGCCGCTCCGGTTTCCTCTTTCACGCCCCGGGGAGAGGCGTCTGCCCCGCAGGGTGGGGCGGAGGGAACCGCGATCCTGGCTCACGGGAACTGAGCACCTACTGTGTGCTGGGCCAGCGCAGGCTGGGTCTCGTGGAAACCTCACGTAGGAAAACGAGCTCAGGGAGAGGAGGTGCTGGCCCCGGATCGCCCCAGAGCATGGAGCTCTCCACCCGGTGGTCACCTCACTGTCTTCCTAAAGTGGCGCCTGGGCTGGCGGGAGGGGCTCAGCGAGTTGGGCGTCGCCCGTGCAACCAAAGCCTGCTGGTTCGATACCGGGCAGGGCACAGGCCCGGGTTCCAGGCTGCGTCCCCAGTGCGGGGCGTGCAGGAGGCAGCTGATTGACTTGCTCTCACATTGATGTTTCTCTTTCTCCCCCTCCCTTTAAATTTAAAAAATTAAAAATGTTCATTAAAAAAATAATAGTAACACCCGTATGACACCCCTGGAACTGCCAGCAACAGAAGCTGCGGACTCATTGAATCGGACCATGTCCCCCCATTCGCACCTCTGCCGTGTTTGAGTGACAGCGGCAGACTGGAGGCCCGATATCTTACTTCTCCGAGGCGGGGGGCCTCAGTCTGTATTTTGCTAGCAGGATCCCAATGCGCTGATGAGGGGCAGGGTCACAGCGGGCGGGGCAGAGAGAGACGTGAGTGCCTGCGAGCAGCTAGCCCGCTCCCCGTTAGCAGCCCGCTTGCCGCAGGGCCACAGTTTG